GTTTGTTGTAGATTCCACCCTATGTGCTGGTTTATAAGTCTCTCATGTTGTTCTTGCCCTACACTTTCAGGCAGCCTCTGCTTGCCTGGCTGCCTGTGTACACTCATAGTTCCTGGCTTTTCAGTGCAGAAAGATTTGTCAAGAGAGCTTTGTCAAGGGTACCCTCAGTTCTGTTGGACAGATCCACTAGGGGCATTTATAGGGGAAAGGAGGGCACTACCTGAGGATTCCTGTTACTACCTACTGCTGCCATTTGTTACTTTTATACTGTGTTATATACTGGCTTTTAATAGAAAAATGCTCTGGTAAGCTTCAAATTTGTTACCTGCTATGTCAGAGTATGAGCATACCTAAAATTTTTTACCCCAAGCTTGTGATCAAACAGTATAAAAAGGGAAGGCCCAGATTTTAACCTTTTCTTGCCCAGTGCCTGGAACAGGGTTAATATTCAACAAATATTAGTTTGAATCTAAAACAGAAAAATTATCCATTATTCTTATTCTCTAACTCATTGGCTTAAAAAAATTATTTCCTTTCAGCTTTCACCCTTCTGTAGATGTTATTTTATTTTTTTTTAAAGATTTATTTATCGGGCCTCCCCTGGTGGCGCAGCGGTTGAGCGCTGGGCTGCGAAGCTGCCTGCAGCCTCTGCAGCACCGGTTCAATCCCCAGCCACCGGCGAGTGTCCCTCATGGCGCGCAGACCTCTCCTGCCGCCTGCTGCTCCCCTCAGCAGTGTGTTTCAGTAAATCTGCCTGCTCCGCTCTCCCCTCTGGCTCTGGTGAATTCTCTCGCCCTTCTGCACTTCTGACTGTACCCAGTGCATGTATAAACAAACAAACAAATAAATAAATAAATAAAAATCTTTTTTTAAAAAAAAGATTTATTTATGCATCCAAGAGCTGGGGTACAGGCCAGAGATGCAGGGAGTGAGAGGATCCACCAGAGACAGAATGGGAACGGAACAGGCAGATTGACTGACACACACTGCTGAGGGGAGCAGCAGGCAAGACAGGAGAGGTCTGCCTTGCCACGTGGGTTGCTCCCTGGCTGGCCAGGGATTGAACTCGTGCTGCAGAGGCTGCGGATTGCTTCATAGTGCAGCGCTCAACCCCTTACGCCACCAGGGAGGCCCTAGATGTTATTTTTTTTTTAAAGATTTATTTATCATACAAGAACTGGGGTGTAGGCCAGAGTGTGGGGAGTGAGAGGGTTCACTGGAGACAGAGTGGGGAGCAGAACGGGCAGATGTACTGAAATATACTGCTAAGGGGAGCAGTGGGTGAGACAGGAGAGGTCTGCTGTGCCAGATGGGTTAGCTCCCTGGCCAGGGATCGAACTCTTGCTGCAGTGGTTGCGGATAGCTTGATAGTGCTGTGTCTTTAGCACTTGCACAAGGGTTGTACAGAGTCTACCAGGGAGGCCCTATAGATGTTATTTTTAAGTAAGTATCATTTTGCATTTAAGCTTTTGAAAATTTTGTATGTGCTACTTTTTATGCCATGTTATCCTCATCATCATCTTCTTATGATGGCATAATAGTCCATAAATTATATACATTGTTTTTGCTTGATTATATAGTGGGGGTGGGCATTTTTACAGTCAGAGGAAGACTTTTAAAATTTTAATACGTAAATGTTTGTGTTTTAAATTACTTTGTCAGGATCTGTTCAGAAATTGGAATTGTAGTAGAATGAAGGACATAAGGAGTTGGGCTTTGTTGCTTGGTGCCAGACTGATGATCCTTTCCCCCATACCCCTACCCCCCAACACACACACACCTTGAGCCATTTTGTAGTGTGGCCAGGTTGTATTGACATGTGTCTCCTCTATAGCTCTCCCCACTCTCCCTTAGTGGGGTTTGTTAGCATTGGTTAGTTTGGTGATTTTACTGCTTATTAATCAGCAACTATGTTGATGGTTTTTCTATTTTTAATTCTAAAAATACACAGATGTATCTATTGATAGATACAGATATTCTCTGTCATTTTATTCATTTTTGTTTTATCTTTATTGTATTACTGATCATGTGGAGAATTTTCCAGAATACATTTGTAGGGCCTCCCCTGGTGGCGCAGCGGTTGAGCACTGGGCTGTGAAGCTGCCCGCAGCCTCTGCAGCACCGATTTGATCCCTGGCCGCCGGTGAGGGTCCCACATGGCCCATTAGAACTCTCCTGCCGCGCCCGCTGCTCCCCTCAGCAGTGTATTTTGTCACCCTGCCTGTTCTGCTCTCCGCTCTGGCTCTGATGAATTCTCTCACCCTCCCGCACTTCTGACTGTACCCAGTGCTCGTATAAATAAATAAATCTTAAAAAAATAAAAAGAATACATTTGTACTTTATGCTTTCTCTTTTGCTGTGTAGCTTGTTAATTGTCCTGAAGGAATTGTCTTAATTCATGTTGCCTCATCATTTCTCTGAATAACTCATGAATGACCAAACTGAACTTTGCTTGCTGTGCACCTGTCCCAATAGCATTTATTATGTGATTCCTTCTTGCGTCCTTTTGTTATTTCTGCTTTATGTTCTATTAAGATCTTATGACATTTTAAATGTGTTTTGGAATTTCTTTTCCACTTGTTTTATTTTCTAGTTTCAGTTCCACATCATGTATTTTTAATGATTTGATATTTTGTAGTACTGTTTTTCAATCTGGAATAATGAAAATTCCACTGTCATCCTTTCCCCTCCAGAATATTTCTTCTTAATTTTGTAACTATTTGGTATATATAAGCATCCAATTTTTACTTTTTTTATAACTGTTTTTTACTAAGTTGCCTGACAATTTGTAATAAATGAAAATGTAAGTACATTTCTATGCAGAGGTCAATCCTTGTCATCCATTAGCCATATGAGTCATTATAAGAATGGATTTAGAATTAACTTTTGCTTAACATTGTTTCCTAGGCTATTGGGTACGCTTCAAAAATTTCAACTTTTGGAATATCTCTTTACTATTTAAGACTGGAAAAGGAGGCTCTAAGTAGAGGCTTATAGAATCAGACATAAAATATATACAGGGCTGTACCTAAGTTTTGACGTAAGTTACCTAATAAAATGAAATTCCCTAGGAGAGGAGATAATCAAGTAAGAAGATGGATTTGAAATACTCGCTGCTTTTCTCAGCCTCTACAGGCAACTTCTCAGTTCTTTCAGTACAGAGAAACCAAATACAACAGAGGCAGTTCTTGGTTTTTCTCTAAAAAGTGATATCCACTATGGGAGACTTTAGCTTAGCGGTCTGAAAACCAGAGCTCTGGGCAAAGAAGTGCTGGTTTAATCTTCAGGCAGTTCCCGTTTGGAAGTTTCTAGCAAACAACAGCAACAGCCAGCTCCTTTTCTGTGCTGGGACAGTTTCCTTCTTTGTTGTTATGACAACGGGGGGGGGGGAGCTATATTCAGGTATTTCTGGATTCTAAATCCAGAAAAAGGTTTAGGCTGGGTTTGTTCAAAGAGCAAAAGAGAGTTGTCTGTTTCTTTGTACACAGAGGAGAAAAATAATCCTTATGATTCAAGAGAAAAAATGGGTGGGGCTGTCCTTTTCCATTCCTTCACATAAATTATAAGTCTTGATTCCAGCCACCACACCTTTTAAGAAAAGGTCTGGGGCTGTTGTTTCAAGTGAAATTCTGTACCATAGTGACACCCTACCCTGGCTGACAGCGGCAAGAGGACAAAAGGAAGGAAGTTTCCCTTTTAAATCCCCAGGAATTTTTTGGATGAGATAATATTACAGAGTGAAATGTTTCTCCTCCTGTTAGTTTAGTGTTTGGCTCCTGTGTAACAGTAACCCACTTAGAAGCAGGCGGCCCTTTTGAAGTTATTTTAAACTTCCAGCAGAGTGGAGAGATATTGTAACCTTGGATAAGAGAGCACCACCAGCCTGGGTTTCAGTTTTGCCCTTTCAGACATGTGGAAAGTGCACCAGTATATCTCAAGGATTTTGTACTGAAAGCTTCTTAAAGAGCTGGTCTTGCTTTCCAAGCTTGGCTTGATACACTGCTCTACTCAAGGGACCATAGTTCTCTTTCTCCAGATATTTAACCTTGTCTGACTAGTGTTTTGGCTTTGAAGTTCCCATAGATTCTTTGTCCATTAACAAAACAGTGAAACCATGATAGTCAGTCTCAGCAGGCTCTGAGAAATGTGAAGAAGGTCCATCTTCATATTTCCACATAAAAGCAGATGCTCACTATCTGGCATGGATGTTGTTCGGGTATATGCACTGCTCGTTGTGAGTCATTTGGCCCTGGCAGCTACACATTTGGAAGCGCAAGTGTGATGGGTTCAGTGCTCCTTCTAGAGGTCATAGGATCTGTCTTCATGTGGGAAAAAGTTGGGATTTCTCAGAACGATTATCTCAGTCACTGTGTCTACCATCTCTGTAACACCCGAATCTGCATCACACTGGTGCCACCTGGGAGTTATTTTTGGTCTTGGGGATGGTGAATGCTGCTGCTTCTTTCTGCACCATCTCCCTGAGTCATCCTATGCTGTGTCTCCAGCCCAGGTCCTCGATGGCTCCCAGAGCAGCCATTCCAGACAGTCTCCCTCTGAGGGTCCACTGCACTGTGTAGGGAGACTGTGGATTTCTCTTTGGCCTGTCAGACAACTTAACCAAAGGACCCATAGAATCTACTGGAATGCCTAGAGGGAGGGACTTCTTCTGTCCAGCAGTGCATATCATTTTTAATTAAAATACTGCTTGTCTATGTTTATAAGAAGGCGAAGAGCATTCCACTTCCCACTCTTTGCTATCCCTGATTGCTATTCCCAGAGGCAACTATTTTCAATTATTTAGTGGTTTCTTCTGCTCTTCAACTATGAATATTTCTAAATAACATGCTTATACTTCTGCTTCATATTTTTTGTCCATTTTTTTTTTTAACTTCCTACCAAGGAAAAAAGAGAAAGATTTTGTTCTCTAACTGCCCTTTTACCAGCCTTCCCCTCTCCATCTTTACATATTTCCAATATAGTTACATCACAATTATTATTTAGATCAGGATTTACATTATTATGACTGTCCTCTCAGCCAGGCCATGCAGACCATACCGTGATTATGGTTTACATCTCTGATGTTAACTTTTTGGGTTTTTTTTCAGGAGTTAATAATTGTAAACTCTTCCCCCTCACCCCTCCTTTAGTTTGCAATGTAACTATTACAGTTAGTTCCCTTGTTCAGATTATACAGCTCTTCTCAGTACCATCAAACTATTAGATAATGACTCTGGTTGTTGATCTTTTACCTAGCTCTCCTGCAAACCCTCAACCTTCTGGTCCCATCTGGACTGGTTACCCAGCAGGCTGCTTGGATAGCTATCATCCTGGGATTCCCCATCACCATCATTCCGGGAATTCCCTCCATTTCTTTTTTCTATTGGATTCCTTGTGCTCTGAATTCCATGCTTGCTTTATCCTCAGTTTATTTCTTGTTTTGTTGGCATTGAGAGCAACTTCTGAGATCTAACATGGGCAGGAAAATTTGAGGTTATTGCTTTTGTGGGGAGGACATTCTCTGTTCTTCTCTTTCCACTGCCCATATAAAGTGCTGTCACAAGTCTCTGCGTGTAGAAAGTATTAGCTGCCTCTGCGTGCCTGGCTGCTTTAGTTCAACTAAGTAGAACACAACTAAGAAGAAACAGCCTTTGCTCCTATGGCATTGCCAGTAAATCTTTTTTTGTCCTCGGAATGTCTTTGGTGACTGGGTAATCAATGACTGTTAAGAGCCAGTTCTTCTTAAAGTTCATGTATCAATTTGACTAAATGCTGACCTGCTTGCCCTGGTCCTTCACTTGGCAAGCAGAGACATAAGCAAAGTGTGAGACATAACAGCAAGCCTGCTCCTGGGCTGAAAGTTGTTCACCCAGCAGTAATTTACTGAGTACTTGTTGGCCACAGGGCTCTGGGTGGGGTGAGAGAGGACTTCTAAGTAAGATTGTCCTTCTGAAGCAGGTGCCCATCTTAGAGGGATGCTGCAGGAACTGTGGTGAGCACCATACAAGGCATTAGGGAACATAGAAGTAGAAGCAACTGATTGTATTGGTGCATTCAAGAAAGTTCTATGATGACATTGAAGATGGTCAGAATATTCTAGTCAAAGGCATAAAGCACACTCAAACATGACAAGTCTAGAGAAAGTGAAAGAAAGGGCTTTCCCATTGTTTTGGTGTCTACTGTGTTACTATGGTTTTATGTCTCATTTAATCCTTATACCAGCACCCTTTGGGGGCAGGTGCTGTTGCCCCCATTTTATAGATAAGAAAATTGAAGTTTATAGAAGTCAAACCATCTGCCCAAGTTGATGAAGAGGTAGAGATGAGGTTTAAACAGAAGACTGAATAATTGCAGAACTCTCATCCTCTCAGGCCAAAATACCTTTTGGGAAAAAATTTCAAGTAATGTCCAAGCTCATAATAAAGGGTGAATGGAACATTCTTTGATTGACTTAAGCCAAGGATGTTGAGCATCCTGAAGTTACTGGCCTGCTAGCACAAGACTCGGGTTATAACATATATATTACCCAGTAAGTCCTTTTGCTCTAATTGCAGCTTTTCGTTTATTTGCATTGCTCTTCTGTGGATCTATCCCAGGAGTTTTGCTTTTTGTCTCATTTTAGGTCATCCTTCCCTTTCTGTGCCTGGTTGCTGTAGATTGCCAGTACAACTAAGAAGCAGCCTTCTTTGTTTCAATATTCTCTGTCCAGTGGAGTCTTTGGTCCAGTGGAGTCCCATTCTGGATTTCTGAGTGTGTTTGATTTTTTTTCTTTACCATTTAGTAGTTCTTTCTGACATCCCAGAGTTGTTAATATAATAGTATTTTTAACCTACTTAAAAACATAAAGGTAAAATCTTCAGTTTTAAACATTTGAACATTCAAACATTTTAAGAAAAATAAGCTCAGAAATGCTTATTTTTAAATGCTATGGTGCTATGTAATTTTTAAATGCTATGGTGCCACATTAAGTTCACCATTAACTTAAACAATGTTCATTGACGTCTCCTAAGATTAATTTTGGATGAATAAGCATTAGGAAGTGCATATCTTCTTTTATATATAGTCGCTACCTGTGTGTCCTTGACTGATGGAAATATGTATGAATTAGCAAGCCTAGTTTTTATGTGACATATGTCTGGAATGATAGTATGTAAGTGGTGGATAGCCAGATTTTCAGGAAAATGCATGTATTTAGTATGTAGGAAGTCCTCATTCTCTATAGATGATTGTTACTCAGAAAAGGATTTTGCAATCCTTTAAAATTGGTGGCTAATATTTCTTAGTAAATATGGAAAGATTCAGTTAAAGCTATATATTGAAAAGGAAACTTAATAGTTTTTTTTAAAAACAAGGTAAATTACAATTACAGCTTTATACTGATTTCCCATGTGGACAGTGTTGGAATCTTTTCAGCAAAATTGTGTGAGAATATAGACATTGTATCCTTTTATATTTGACTTCAGCAGCAGGATCATTGAAGTCATTTTTCCAAAAATATTAGAGGACTCTCACTTTTCCCAAAGTTCTGTCTTAATCTTTTGATCACTCTCTGTGAAAACTCCCATGTGGATTTCTTCTTAAATCTTTAACTAGATTATGTGCCATTGGCCTTGAGCAGAATCCTCTTGAGTAATGTGATTTTCATGGACTTCATTATAGTCTGCATCAGTTCCTGATTTGCTATTCTGATTCTCAGCTTATAAATGGTATAGTTACTATACTATCTGCTATTCCAACAGTTAGCAAGAGGTTGTTTCAAAGGATCAGTAAGACAAAATATATAGTAGGTGTTCAGTTAATTATAAAACGCTTTCCCTAAATTTGACATTATTTTGCATTGTATGCCTTTGCCTAGATCAGTTTACAAATGAACATTTTCATGCCTTGGCTACTTGTGCTTCCCTAGAAAATACTCTGCTGAGCTTATTATCATTTGGAGCCTTTGGGAAAAGAGAATCCCTGGATAAAAATGGTTGTAGAGCTAGGGTGGCAGGCATTTCTGAAAGCTGATATGATCAGGGGTGAGCTGACAGAGACCTGAATCATATAATATTTGACAAATTGGTTAAAGAAGTCAGTTACACTTGAGGCATAGCTGAGACTGTACTCATTGGAGTAGTAAATTGCCACAAGGGATTCAGAAGGGAAGGAACTGGAGAGTAGAGCTGAGAAAGGTGGTGGATACAGTGAGGTAGGTTATTAATTCTCTGAGATGTGATTTTGATGGCCTCTTTGACTGTCACAGGAAAATAAACAGGACAACCAAATGCACCCACTGGCACTTTTTAATAATTCCTTTTGTCTTTTTTTTTTTTTTTTTAAAGTCTTTGATACCTGTTGAGAATTCAACACTCTTAACAGGGCTGACATTTTGACATTAGTGAAAAATTTGATAGGGAAGTCTTGGAGGAGGAGGAGGAGAGAGGATGTGACTACTAAGAGGAAGCGTGTGCCCAGTGTAAAGTGTAGACCCAAGACAATCAATGACTGTGTTTAAGATTTAAGTAGTTCAGATTTCTGAATGCTTAGGTGCACGCTTCAGCATGCCATATAGTCAGCTCCTCCACAGCACAGGTCTCGGTTTCAGTTTCTGCTACTCTTGGTTCCTAGTCCTGATGCTCCTCTACCTCCTCTCCTCTCCACGTGCCCCCAGCCCTCCTAGGCGTCCCCCTCTCTCTAGTTGCCTTCAGCTGTCTCTCCATCTCTTCGTGTCTTCTACCATAGCCTTGACTCTGTCTCGTTCAGCATTTGAGGACATGTGGCTTTGCCTTGAATTTTATTTACTGTAGATTTCTTTCATCTATGTATAGGTATTTTTCCTAATAATTTCACAGTGTGGCCCATGAAATAGTGTGATCAAACACAAAATAGGCTTGTAGTCAAAGGATTGGAAATGCTGGTTTCAGAAAAGGTTAAAATCCCTTTTTCAATCCGGAGGCCTCATAGAACTTTAATTTGCCATGTGAAGCCTGATCCTTATGAAGTGTTTCTCAGTGATAGTTACTTGTGCAAGAATCTGTTTTTCATCTTGCAGGACAGTTTCCAACGGGGCTGCTGTAATTGACTTTGACTCTAGAAGGGTGGAAACCACATCATCTTCCACTTGTAGATTACCCGTGTTAGCTGGGGGCAGTCATTTCTGAGTAAATTCGTGGGACATTTAAAAAAAAAATAAAACCTCTATTATGCTGTCATGCTAACATTGATATAAAATTCATCCCTTGTAAGCCTCACTAAGGTCTGCAATTCAGAAACATTTAGTACATTCACACTGTTGTATATCACTCACCATCATCTGATTCCAGCACATTTTCATCACCCCAAAAGGAACCTCCCCATCATTCCCCAGTTCCCTCTCTCCCCATTCCCTGTATCCACTTATCTGCTTCCTGTTTCTGTGTTTATTCTGGATATTTCATATCAGTGGAATCATATAACATGTGGCCTTTTGTGTCTGAATTCTTTATTTAGTGAAGTTTTGGTGCAGATACAGGGTATTAGACTTGAACACTACCTGTGTTCCCCCAATTAGTAAATAACAAAAGCCCTCTCCATTATAAACCTCTAAGTCAGGAGACCAGGTTAAAAATATGATGGAATACATGGAAAGGATCAGTAGTGTGACAGACATGACTTGACCTGGGATTTCAGGAAGTTGACCTGAGGCAGGCTATTTGCCCTTTTGTAGAGCTCAGAGGTAACTGCGCTGTTTGCATGGTTGCTTATTACCCTCACTCATCCTCTGTCCAGTGGGAGGTCTGCATTTTAAGCTGCTATTCATTTAATTAACATCCTAAATTGGGCTTAGTTCTTACAGGGCAGCTGGAGGGAAAATTGTGCTGTCTACTGCATTGTAGATCCCTTATTGATCCCCTGGACACATTCTTCAAGTACTCTTGAAAGACAGAATTCCCAGGGGATTGGTTATCCCTCACCCACTATAAAGGCAGCCAGTCGCCACCCCTTATAGCACCCTGTGTTCACCTGTCTTACTGCCTCTCGCAACCCCTTTCCTTGTTGCCCCATTGACTTGTTAAGAATTTCTTCTCTCTGGGTTTCATTGGGCCTCTGAAGTCCAGGCATACTGCTGCCAGAAGGTGTTGAACTCGTCTGCCTAAAATAATTATTCTGGGTGCTACTCTTCTGCCAAAAGACTACCACCATTGTCTCGATATTCAAACTCCACCCTCATTTTTGTGCCCATCTCTTCCTTCCCTGTCTAAACTGCAATCCTTCATACCGATCAGATGGCCTCCTTCTCTCCCCCATAAGCCATTAGCTCTTCCTCCAGGTACTTGGAATGGCTGCTGCCCCCTCCTTTTTTTCCCTGATATGTTTAACCCTTCCTCCCAAGCTCTGCTTCAAGGCTTAGCAGTTGCACAAAGCCTCCCGAAACATTCTAGCAATCCTTGCCAGCACTAAATTCATTGCTGTCAGATACCATAGAATTTAGACCTGGCAACATTTTTCCCTAAGGACTTTATCATTTAATCTTTTCTTCCCAATCAGATGACCAGCTCTTGGAGGAAGGGAGAATAAAATCAAGGAAGTGGAGTGGGAAGGCACTGGACTGTGAATTCCAGGGCCAGGTCACGTCTGGTATAGCTATTTGCTGACTGTTGTCATGGAAAAGCTACTTATCTTGAAATCTCATCTGTAAAATGAGTAGGGGATAAGGTGGCTGTGTTCCTATTTGCTGCTGTAACAAGTTATTACAAACGTAGCAGATTAAAGAAATACAAATTTATTCTCTCACAGTTCTGGATATCAGAATTCCAAAATGTGTCAGTGGGGCTGCATTCCTTGTGGAGTCATTAAGTAGAATCCTTGTCTTGTTACCAGCTACTAGAAGCCTGCCTGCATTCCTTGGCTCATTGCTCCCTCCTCCATCTTCAAATTAATCACTCCGATCTCTGCTTCCATCATCACATCTCCTCTCTGCTTCCAGATGCCCTTTTTTCTTTACAAAGACCTTTGTGATTACATTGGGCACATTCAGCTAATCCAGGATAATCTCTGTTCCTTAGAGTTGACAGTACCTGCACAGTCTCATGCTACATAATGTAATATTCACAGGTTCTGGGTAAAGGACATAGATATTTTTGGGAATCATTATTTTGTGGACTCATAGGTCTCTTGTATCGCTAACAACTCATGAATTTTCCACTTATTTAAAGAGCTTAGCACTGTGGTAGGCTCATTAACTTCTTTATATCATGTTTATCCACAAGGAGTTCATCTTCTCATATTGTTATTAGGAATTCTGGGGCCTGATACAACTCAAAGAGAACTGTAAGCAAAACCTAGGCTTGTGCTGTTGTCAAGCTTCCACTACAATACTGTCACCAGCAAAAAATTGACAGTGCTTCTCTTTGATTTTGTGCTTTACAAATTTGGTGGTGGTGGAGGGGGCAACCTCAAAGAATTTTGTCTGTTTCCCAGTAACCTTTCCCAGAGATGGCCTTTAAAAAGCCTATTAATTATACTGGTGATTCTGACATATATCTAATTGTCTCATTAAATTCCTGAATGTGTTTCCAAGTACTCTTGCATAATCTGAAGTTGAAGTGTCCTTAAGGTCTAGAAACCAAGTAGTCTTGGATACTAAACTAGATAGTTTCATCTATAATTGCTACTTAATGTTATAATATTTCACAGCAATTTAGATTGGCATTTATATAAGGCTTATGCTATTTTTCTTTCCTCCAGCCCATCAGGGTATACACCTGGGGTGACTGCTGAATACAAAGCAGTGAGAAGGCATCCATAAAATTAACCTCCCACCCTGTTTAATTTTATATTTTGAGTTTACTTTTGACTGTCAAGTCTGACAAATTCAAAGGTGAGTCAAGCAGATCTGCAAACTGTGTGTTGAAGTTTTCTTTCCATTTTGTTTCCTAGATGCACCCACTGGGCCTGTGTAATAACAATGACGAAGAGGACTTGTATGAATATGGCTGGGTAGGAGTGGTGAAGCTGGAACAGCCAGAATTGGACCCGAAGCCATGCCTTACTGTCCTGGGCAAGGTAAATGCCAGGCCCTACGAATCACTCTGATTCTGATTGATGTTCTTCACCTTCCCATTTCCTCAAGTAATTGGCTACGGAGAAGAGCCATGCTGGTATAGCACTCATTCCAAGCTGGAGACGTTGAGTGAGGACTAAAGATAATGTCCTGTAGCAGCCACATAAACGCTTATAAGCTCGTACTCTAGTAGAATCCACTTCTTATCCACTGTGTGGCTGTGGGCAAGTTATTTCCCCTCAGGGAGCCTCAATTTCTTTTCTGTGAAATTCACAATACTTTATGTTACACCTTGGGACCAGATGTTTCAAAATTCTGAGATTTGGGGGGTTTAGAAAGGTATTAAGGTATACATATTTTCTAGATCCGAGACAGTACTCAATAATCAAATACTTTAATGTTTGTGTAACAAATTACATGGATAGTTACCTTAAGTGGGATCATGCTAAAATCTAAATAGCCTAGTGTTAGTTAAGGGCAGCTTTACCTTCATGAGTTCAAGTCCGCAGAGTTTTGTTGCCAAATAAGTTATGGAAAAATTTAAGGTTTCAGAGCTTTTTTTGTTTCAGAATGGCAGATAGCAATTGCAATCCTTTATTAGAAATTACTTCATAGGATTGTTAGAAGGTGAGATAAGATGCAAACTCTCAGAAAGTATCTGCCACTGAAGGTTGCCATCCATTTTTAAGTACTAAAAAAGACTTTTCAGTCAAGAGAGTCAGCATTACTTCTGACTGCAGTATAAAATAGAAATACATTTTTTTCTTGCATGGAAAGCCACCCATCAATGACCTTAAAACATGAGGTCACCTCATATAAAACAGGTTGTCACCTGTTTTAAATGATATCATTTCGTTAAAGGGTAAGTTTTGGAGAAGGTTATTAGAATTTGGTATCTTCTAAAAATAGTATATTTGCCTAAATAGTTTTTCATATCAGAGGCTGCTGTTTTAGGTATTATGAGGACACCACTGTGGGGGGTTCCTGACGTGAGGATTTCTTTGGAGAGTCAGGCCAGAGAAGAGGAGGTTTTGGGAGGGACTTGAAGATGTCCTTGCTGGTGACTCTTGAAAGAGTTAGCCCAGGAGACCCTCAGGGGTCTAAATCTGTAATTTTTGCATCCTGCTTGTCTTCTTAGTAGCTTCCATGCTCTAGTTAAGTTCTCCTTCACTGGGATGGGGGGGAATCCCTGAAGGAATTATTACCTGTTTGGTTTGCAGATCACAGAGCTGAATCTAGGTGTTTTAGGTGGCCTAGGTCCTGATATTTCATCATTTAAATAGTTGGGCAGAGCTGCTTAATGATGCTAGGAGAGCAGATCCTCCCTTGAGAGTATTTTAGTGTTTTCCTAGGAAAAATGCCAGCTACATCCAAAGGTTAAGAACACTGCTTTCCTTGTAGGCATTATGCTCCTAATATAATATTTTCTCCTATACTTAAGCTACTGCTATGCAGGGCTCAGCAGCTTTTCTTAATTTACTTTTTCCCAATCAGTAGGGTTCTACCTTTGCATCTGTCTGTAAATGGGTTGAAACAGGGCTCCCAGGGATACCCCATTGCTCTGCCATGGCTTAGTGGTGTGGAAGCCCCTGAGAGAGCCCAATTGTTTACTCCTACACCTCGAACAGCCATGTAGTGGTTTTACTTAGAGAGTTGTGTATGGTTTGGCCTGCTGGCTTGTGCAGCCAGGGAGAATAAAAACCCTAGACAGATATGGAATCATTAAATACTTACTGGGTTTATTCATTCACCAAATATTTATTGAATGTAGGGGCCCAGAAGCTAAGTGTGCGGTTCTACCTACTCTCCTGCATGTATACCTACTACCTTCCCTAACCCACACCGCCCCATGTTTCTGTTTGAAAGGGTTGTGTGGTGGCCAGGCCGTATTTACATATGGCAAGTTACTGAAATATGGCTTAGCTCATAAATAAAATCACTAGCAAACATGCTTGTGTCAGACAAAGCAAGATAGTTTCACAGGTTGTTTAAAACTTGGGTTGGTGCAGGAGTTGGGATGACTCAGGCTATCTTTCTACCTTCCTTCCTCTTTTTCTGTCTCCCTCTTTTTTCTATCTCATCTTCTTCCTGAAGTATAGTTGTTCTCAGTTTCATATTACTGTGTTTTCTGGATTCTTTTTTCCCCCTCAACCCTCAAGGGCAGTGGCAGGAAACTAGGGTAAAGAAAAACAAAAAGATCTCAAGGTCAGTCTGATCTCCTACAGATAGCATGATTTTCCATCATTTCTTTACTCCTGGTGGCTATGGCAAGAAGGGGGGTGGGCAGTGGAGAAACTACAGCAAAAGGAAGAAACTACAGCAAAGTCAGTATGGGGATGGGGGGAGGGACTCTGTATAGATGTTGAGACTTGTTGGAAACCATAGAAGGGAGGACTTTTCTGTCAGGCGTTTGGTAATGCCTGTAGGAGAAGGAGGGCCAGACACAGAACCCCCTCCCCCTTCACCTCCCCCATCACCCACCCACCCACAGAAAATGCCATGGGGCAAAACGTTGGAATAAGAGAGGAATGTCCTAAATTAAAAAAAAAAAAAAAAAAAAAGCCTCTCCAGGAGTTCAAATAAAGTTTCATTTTAAAAGCACAAGATATAAACTCATCACCTTGGTTTATTACTGAGTGCTTTTGAACTTCTTAGGAACCTTATAAACTCATGAGAGAAAAATGATTTACGGCCCCTCCTTATAATTTGAAGATAGAAGGCAATGCAGACAGCAACATCAGCTAAGGAGTGAGCTCCCCACAGGGATACGGCAGGCCAGGCTCTGCCTCACTCCAGCTGTAGGGAAATTTCTTCAGCTTTCTGGGCCTCTCGTTTTCACTTCACGTGAAGAGGCTGTTCATGGCTTCTTGCTCTTGTAATATTTTGAGCTTCTGTATCATACTTAAGATCTCTCCTTGATTGTCTTGTTTGAAGAGATTCTGGTTGCAGCATTGAAAGACAGACTTTATATGTGACTGTTTAAGTCCTAGGGAGTTAAAACAAAATAAAATTGACATTTCTGAACAGCTTGCTATTGAAAGGAAGGTCCTTAAACTAGACCAAAGTGAGTCTATCTGTATTTATGCCTCAGGCTTTTTTTTTTTTTTTTTAATTAATTAATTTATTTATTTATACAAGCACTGGGTACAGTCAGAAGCGCGGGAGGGTGAGAGAATTCACCAGAGCCAGAGTGGGGAGCAGAGCAGGCAGAAGGACCGAAGTACACTGCTGGGGGGAGCAGCGGGCGGCAGGAGAGGTCTGCGCGCCATGCAGGACCCTCCTCCTGTGGCCGGGGAGCAGCCGGGGATCGAACCTGCGCTGCAGAGGCTGCGGGCAGCTTCCCAGCGCTCAACCGCTGCGCCACCGGGGAGGCCCAATGCCTCAGGCATTTTAACCCTTCGATTCAAGCTGTGTCTCTTAAGCATCTTAGGAATCTGGTAAGAATTTCAAATCTTTGGTTCCTATGACCTGTCAACCTCATGGAGAATCTCATGGAAAGGAACACACAAGAAATTCTAGTGTTTCTAACAAAGCCACCTGGCCCAGATTCTTTAAGTTGAGTAGAATAAACCTCTCCATCTCCCATTTCCCGTGTTGGAATGGGGTCTTAAGAAAGGTTTTTAAAAACAGGATGGTCAACTGATACGGACTTAACTCTTTCTGGCATATAAGAGGACAGTTTGAGAAAGTTAATAAAAAGAAAAAGATAGGGAATTGCAGGTCAGACAGACCCAGACTTAGCTGAATCACCACAGAAAGGTAATTTTTAAGTTCTTGGGGCCTCACTTTCCTTGTTGGCGCTTCATGCTGCTTTTGTCATTGTAGCGGGAGATCTGCGAGATGTTTGTGAAACACTTAGCACAGAACCTGCTCGTGGTAAATGCCCGATGAGAGTATAAGAACAGCCATTATATGTTGGGTGCTCACCAGGTTCTACGCATTTTATGTGCAGTATCTCCTTTCATCATCAGGCTAATTCTAAGATTGTGTCTAGATTCCCATTTTACAATAAGGAAATCTAGTCCCAGAGACACAGAGTATAACTTAACATCTAATGGCTCCCAAGTAGCTGATCTAAGATGTGAGATACAACTGTTCTACTAGCCCATCAATGTTAGTTTCTTTCCTTTGCCTCCTTTTGTGTTTGCTGACATTTCTAGATAAAAATCAGGTGCTTTCAGTAGACACTGTGGTTAGGACTGCTGGTTCCATTTCATGGAAACTCTGCTTAGAGTATGATGAAATGAAGAATTTGCTTTGAGGATCCATCAAGGAATCCATGCTGAGGGTGCTAAGCAACTAACTCCAGGGCTTACTGCCAGCTGTTCCTCTCCAAGTCTTCTCTTGTGTTCATCTTTTTAATGCTCCCCTGTACTTGGTTGAAGACACACACACCCAACATCCCTGGGCCTGATATTCTTGTGGTTTTGAGCCTAATGGGTTCAGGAAAGGGAATCCATGTTGGATTATGTGCCTGCCTTTAGACTTACCAGCTGTGATCTGGGGCTGGGGACATACTAGAACTTCCTGCCCAGTTTTAAATGGGGAGTGGGAGCAAGATATTCCTTCTAGAAGAAAGCTTGGGGATGGGGTTTAATGCTAGACTGCCATCCTCCAAGCAGCTCTCTATAATCACCAAAACATGTTTTTTGTTTGTTTGCTGTTTTTTAAGAAGAGTTATCCATCCATGCATACAAGAACTGGGGCACGGGCCAGAGACGCAGGGGGTGAGAGGATTCACCAGAGACAGAATGGGGAACAGAACAGGCAGACTGACTGAAACACACTGCTGTGGGGAGCAGCAGGCGAGACAGGAGAGGTCTGCTGCACCATGTAGGTCTTTCTCTGGCCGACCGGGGATTGAACTCGTGCTGCAGAGGCTTCAGACTGCCTCACATTGTGGTGCCCAACCCCTTGTGCCACCAGGGAGGCCCCAAAACATGTTTTTGATCATAAGTCATAATGTCCTCATTTTATCATGAATTGTTCAAAGAAACTCCATTAAGAAGGGACTTCTCTGGTTCTTGTGTACCATGGAGAGTCATGGCCTCTTTCTTACCCTGAACTGAGTGTCAATCCTTGGCACAAACAGCAGTTGTTATGAGTGAGAAGTGAGTTGGGTGGATTTTACAAAGGGTTATATGAGACAGAAGTGCAAGGAGAGTGTGAGATTGGGAGAGATGGGAGAATAATCTTCAGGACCAGGGCAGGAAGATAGGGAACAAGAGCACTCGAAGTTGTTGAGGGAGGAAGAGGCTTTCAAATTAAGGAGTTTGGTCTTCATCCCCTAAGTAGTTGGGGCCACTGAAAATTTCTGACAAAAGGACAGGTGTAATAGAAACCAGCTTTGGGAATGTTCATTTGGCAGAGATGTGTGGATTGGTTGGAGAGGGGAGGAGCAAGTTACTATTTGTTGCTGGTTGTTTCTGGGAAATGAATGAGCCCCAGACATCAGTTCTTTGGTGAGTCAATGGCATTGCCAAGGACACTTGGTGTTCGCCTTCAGATTTCCCCACTCTCTTCATCTGCCCTTTTTCTGTTTTCAATTTAGAACAATGTGAAATGTAGAAAAAGCATGGCCAACAGTGTGGCAGGGTGGCAAATTGCTCTACTGGTTTTTAATCGCAGCTAAGATAAGCAGCAGGAAACCCAAGCTGGAGAGGTTGGCAGAGAGTAGAGCCTTTACATTCATTCCACCAATCCACGTCAGAAAGAGCAAATAAAGACTAAATCACTCTAGGCAGAAAATGGAGTCAGAGGAATTTTCTTTATTTCAGGATGGTTGGATGGAGAGGAGGTATGTTATGATTAAGACAGATTTAGACACCAAACTAACCTAAGTTTAAACCACAGTTCTAGCTCTTTAAACTGGTTGAGCTGGGGCAGTCACTTGCCACCTACATGTTTCAACTCCTTAAATGGAAGCAGCACCCAAAAGAGATAGTGTATGTCAAGCGTTGGTTGTTCCTGGCACAACTGAAAGCACTAAATAAAGTAGCAACTCTTATTGACCATGCACTTCCTTTCCCTTCCCTTTTTATCCTGCAATTTCTTTTAGAACTGGAAGCCTAAGTAGGCAGATCCATAGAGACAGAAAGGAGCATGATGGTTGCTAAGGCTGGGGGGAAGGGAGAATAACGAATTATTTAATGGGCACTGAGTTTCAGTTGAGGAAGATGAAATGTTCTGGAGATGATGGTGGTAATGGTAGCACAACTGTGAAGCACTTAATGCCACTGAACTGCACCTTTAATAATCCAGGAGCAATGAGAACAGGAACCAAATCCTTTGCACATAAGGCTACCCTTATGAAAATTCCTTACTTGTCTTTCAAAGACCATCTTCCCCAAGTACAGAGTTTTGGTAGGGGAAAACAAACTTTTATTATTTATATTCCTTTTTCATGACATAGTGGAAAACTGGAAAAGGACACTAATTGCAATCAGAGATGTTTGATATATTTCTGTTCCAAATATTAAAACCAAAACCTGATATACAATATGGTGATAGGCAATAGTTGGTGCTTAAAGAAAAGGACTCAGGAATTGTCCAGAAAGGGGAAGGGGCTCTTGCCCCATGAAAATTAATGGGTCTTGGCTAATTGTGAACTGGGGCTTTTCTCTTCTGGAGTCATCTTTGGGTGCTCTGGTAAAAGTCAAAGCCAGTAAAATTGTGATGTGTGTGTTAGTACAGCACAAGAGATCTCAAAGTGTGGTCAGGGGACTCTTTAGGATCCTCAAGATCCTTCCCGGGGGAACCTACAAGATCAGAACTATTTTTATAATAACCCTAAAATGGTATTTGCCTTTCTCACTCTCATTCTTTCTCAGTTGTATGGTGGAGTTTTCCAGATGCTCGATTTATGTGGCAACTTCATTGCTCTGACAGCTAATGGAAGGAATGTATGCTTGTATAGTCTGTATTTTGATAATTTCTCAGTTTTAATTCCTAATATGATAAATATCAATAGATAAAACTCAAAAAATAGAGGATCTTTGGGGATTTGTAATAACTTTTGAGAATGTAAAAGGAGACCAGATTTGAGTTCTCTAACCTAGCATTGTTTCCCCAATGTATGATCATGTAGAGCTTAGCTGAGGAAGACCTTCTTAATATAAATTTCATGGAAATAAGTAGAAAATAGAGGACAAAGGGGGAAAAGGTAAATGTGTTGTCATGAAATGCAGAATTGGAGCCAAGTGTGTTGGTTCTGAAATGTTAGCAATTTGAATAAAAACAGTGGGCTGTTGTTTTCCATGTTTAATAACAAATAACCAAACAATGAATTTGAAGAACTTAGGTGAAAAGATATTTTAATCTTTGAGGCTTGCATTGAGATATAACCTTCAGTCTTAACTTACAGAACTGTGCTTACCTGTGCAGGAACCTTGGGTACTTGGGTAAAGCTGCACAATGCTTTATGAGCCGGATGGATGTGGAGGGCACTTCTCTTCAACGTGCCACTCTCTTTTAGACTTTTAGTTATAGATGTGCATGTCCTAGATACCCAGGTGTCCTGGTCCTTAGGCCAGCCCAACTCAGCACTCTGAGCATGAGATTCCTATCTTAAGACAAATCCTGAGGTCTGACTTGCTGTGGAAAAGAAGAAATGAGTGGCCTGTAGCAGGGTCTTAGAAGCAGCTCACAGGCACTGACCTCTCTAGGTACCTCCTCCAGTCAGTGAAGCAAATGTGGCTCTATTTGCCACATAACCTACACCCAGGGCACTGGGACTACAGTTCATTGCATGGCATTCCTGACAGTGCCCTATGCTTGGGATACTTGGCTGTGTTAAACTTTTGTGGGACATGTTAGCAAATTCTTACCACAGTGGTTCTCAGCTGGAGACAATTTTGCCTCCCCTCCCTACCTCTTTGCCCCCAGCACAGGGGATATTTGGTAATGTCTGGAGACATTTTTGGTCTTCAGAATATCCAATAGTTGGGGGGGGTAGGGGGGCATGATTGTTACTGGCATCCAAAGTGCATAGAGGCCAGGGATGTTATTTAACATCATACAATGTGCAATATAGCTCCCACAATGAAGAATTTCCTGGCCCCAAATGTTGTTAGTGTCAAGGCTGAGAAACCTCATCTAATTGTGACCTACTAGTTTTCTCTCTGTAAGAAAACCTTAAGTTTAATTTCTTCCTCCTTCATTCCCTTCTCTGCCCCACTGCCCTTCAATATAATAACAGGTTCATGGTAGCCTTTGTGGTATGTTCTGCTGAAGTGCAAGGCCAGTGTTAGAACACATTTGTATTTCCATGTGAGGGATGCAAAGAGCACAAATCTTGAAACCCTGTGACCTCACTGCACATTCTTCTACTCATTTAGTAGCTGAGTACCTGGGTCAGTAAACTTCTCTTTGCCTCTGTTTTTCCATATCCCTCTCTGTAAAGATAGTTGTAATGATAAAAAAAAATGTATGTCAAGTTCTTAGAATATGTGAATATTTAACATTAGCAAATACCAGTGTCCTCCTCTATGTAAACCTTTTTGTACCAAGCATATGATAGCCCTTTTTTTAAGACGAGCCAAGGTGAGTTTCTTGTTGGTGAGGAAGTTGGGAAGACTCTTCAAATTTATTTTAAGGAGCATTTGGTTAACTAACTCTCATACTTGGTTAGAAAGGAAAGCAAAATAAGTCAGCTCAGGAGGAAAAGATTCTCACGGTATAAACAGCAAAACCCAGGGAATACCACTTTTCTTTGAAGGTCACATGTCTGATTTGAAAGTCATAAACTTTTAATTTGATGCTTTTCTTCTATACCCAAATCTTTCAAGAAAGCTCTTGGTTGAAAGGCTTTATTAAACACACTACTCCTCTCCTCACACCTTACTAGATCTAGAGACATTTTTAGCTATAAGGCTAACTAAAAACATCATTTGAAATCTACTGACAGGCTTCAGGGAGTTTTGAAGGTAGAGTGAGTGAATAAAAAATAACGTGGCTGCCTGCCACCTCCCCAGAGTAGGGCAGACCTGACTCTACTCCTTCCAACCATTGTCCCTTCCCGTTGGACCAGGTTCGATATAGAACAGGCTGTCCTAGAAAACTGCGAGTGGCCAGAGGAAAAGTCCATCAAATGATTCTATTTTTGAGGTCATTTTGAAGTATAAAGGAAGTTAGAACCTAAAATAATGAACCTAAAATAATGAAGTCATTATAGTATGCATAATATCAGTCCTGAGTCATATAACCTGAATCTCTTATATCTGGAGACAAGTCCCCAAATCCCATCTGTTCTCCATTCTCCAGTAGACAGACCTTGTGCGTGCCTGGCCATGTGTGTAAATTAACCCAAATAAGCAGTGGTGGGCTGCCTGTCGAAGGTATTTCTGACTGCATCCATGGCATTTCAGATTTGATTTACTAGTAGGTTCTAGGAAAACCTGCACACAGGTTTGACCATTGGACATTTTAGAGCACTTGAGTTGCACCCATGCAGGAGAGTACCACTTGTGCCCCTGCCTGGGCATAGATTCCCACTGGGTACAGAAGCAGGAGGAAAGGGACATTGGTGAAATCCTGTCTGGTTACTAACCTTGATCACAAGACCGTCTCAGATGTTTCCCTCGTTCTGTCTTTTGTGTTTGTTTCCTCCCCCCAAAAAAGTGTATTTATTTGATAAAAGGTACAAAGGAGCGTTCTGCTTTCGTGATCGATCTTGTTTTCCAAATCAAACATTGGACTGTGTGTTTGTATGCTTTCTTGCTCTGTTTTGAGGTACTCTAAATAATTCCTTTGGGGTACTGAAGTACTTTAAAGTCTGCATCAAATTTGCTAATTATAAAAGTAATAAGAGTTTCAACATATTCTAATTGTTCTAAAAACACTGCTGGATAAAATGTAATTCTGGTCAGCCTGAACTACTTGGGCTGTTTCTTAGGATGTAAAGGCACTTGGCCTTCACTATTACACATTAACCTGTTGCTACTAGATCTTCACAAATATATCAGGTTTGATACAAATGAACCTCAGAAATAGTATAGTAGATGCAAAGTACTTTCAGTTATGTTGGCTTGATGTTCAAAAATCAAACTTAAGATTTTGGTTTTGAAAGCTTGCTTTTCTTAAAGTTTCAATAGATAAAACCTTAACATTCCTATAACCCCTAATTTTAATGGTATCCAAAAATTTATAGTATTAAATATTTTACTATTTTTATAACTAACAGAAATTTTATGGTTTTTTAAAAAGTGTATAAGCAGTGTAATAATTTTTACCACCATTCTTGTACTTCTGGTGCCAAGCACAGAGCCACCCTAATAAAACAGGCACTTAGTAAATATTTGTTGCATGAAACGATTAATTATGGAAAATGTGAAAATAGAAGGGGAAACCCCACCTTTAATAAGCTATTCCCTTAACACAAGTGCTGTCAGTTTTGGTTTATTTCCTTTCAGACTTCTTCAAGCCTGTTTTCCAGTGTAATTATTATGTATAAATGTATTCTGCCTTTTCAAATTTAATATCTGCCGGTCATTTCACTAATTTGATGTTTTTATAAACTAATTTTAATGTCTCCATAACAGAACAATAGAATTACTGTGATTTAGTTGGCCATTCCTCCAGGGTTCATTAATTAGGTTGCTTCTGTTTTATTTTTAACCCTTACAAATAAACCAAACTGAAACCTTACTTTATGTAGGGTGGGCTTTTGGTTTGTTTGTTTTCTTTTTGAATTATTACCTTATGGTAATATTCCAGAAGGAGATCAGAGATCAAAGGATGTGAACTTCTTTTAATGATTCTTGATTTAAACAGTTTACAAATTGCATTACAGGAAAGTTCCCTTAATTTATCTGCTAACTAGTGATAGTGATGGTTTATTTTTTTTAACATAAGCAATTATTAGCAAATTTTAAACTTATTTTCATTAACTAAATTTCCTCTCTTGTGAATTGTCTATTCTAATATCCCTTATTTATTTATGAATGGGTCAATAGATTTTTTTTTTAAGATGTATTTATGCATACAAGAACTGGGGTACAGGACAGAGGTGCAGGGGGTGAGAGGATTCACCAGACACACAGTGGGGAGTAGAACAGGCAGACTGACTGAAATACACTGCTGAGGGGAGCAGCAGGCGAGACAGGAGAGGTCTGCCGCGCCATGTGGGTTGCTCCCTGGCCGGCATGGGATTGAACTTGCGCTGCAGAGGCTGCAGATAGCTTCGTAGTGCGGTGCTTAACTCCTTGCACTACCAGGGAGGCCCCTCCAATCTTTTCAAAGTGACTACACAATCTGCACTACCACCAATCAATGTATGATTTTTTCAACATCTTAGCTAATACTTGTTATCTCTCTTTTTATATTAGAGCTGTACTGGTGGGTGTGAAGTGGTATCTCATTGTGGTTTTGATTTGCATTTTCCTCATGGCTGATGATGTGGAACAGCTTCTCAAAGTTTGTATATTATCTTTGGAGAAATATGTATTCAGATCCTTTCCCTTTTTTAACTGTTGAATTGTAAGAGTTCATTTATCTATCCTAGACATAAGTCCCTTAGCAGATACATGATTTGCAAATATTTTCTCCCATTCTTTGGGTTTTCTTTTCACTTTCTTGATGGTACCTTTGAAGCCCAAAAGTTTTTAATTTTGATGAAGCCCATTAGATCAATTTTTTTTTTTTTTTGCACTTTTGGTTTCATATCCAAGAAACTCTTGGAAAGCTCATTTCACCAAGACTAACTAGCTGTCCTTACTGTACTATTTTATATGATGGGCTATTTAAAGCCCTTCCAGAATTTCGAATGAGGACTTTGTTCTCTCTTTCTCTCCAGAAACTTTTAAGTTAACATAAGGCCAGGAAGCATTGGTTTCTCTTTATCACTGGTCCCTGTCTTGACTTACCTTCCTAGATCTCTTGATTTCACCTGGGACATCTGAGCCAGGTGGACGTAGTCTCCACATGGGGCAGGAGGATGGTAGGTACCCAAGCATGTCAGTGTCCAGGATTCGCTCAGTTTCAGCTCAGTATCTGAATGGCAGGCTTAAAAATATGGAAATATGGCAGTTACTGCTCAACCTCCTCCTTATTTTAGCTGATGATAGTTCTAGAAGAAACTGGCCTGCCACTTTGTAGAATCCCAGCATGATTACATATGTTCCTGCATGTGTGACCAGCCTTGGAGACTCAATTTCCTAAAGACTTAAGATTATGTCAAGTTTAAGAGACAGTCTAGCAAAATATAGGTAAGAGAGATGTTGTTTTGAAATTCTATTAAAAGGATATAGGCAAGTGACAACTGTCAGTAAGGCACCCACCCTGTTGTGTTTTCAGTGACTTTGAAATGGTAATAGCTCAAAGGTCCCATTTTTGAATATTTAAGATCATAAAAATGTTTCCAAAACAACTTTTCTCTAAAAGATTTGCTAATAAGCACTAGACTGAAAATATCCCTAACTGATGGCAGGACGTTTGTTCCCAGAGGGGTTGGGGGTCATTGACCAGGTTTCTGTTCTCTTAAAGACAGCACCAAGAAGCAATGCAGGGGCCTTCCACTGAGTTCTGCTCATAAACACAGTCTGTCTCCATTGTCTGACTTTAGGCCATTTAGCTTTTAGCAAGTATGTGCTTCAGAAAGCACCAGGCAGAAATGGGAGCTGATAAGACAGGGACTTGTGGCAAGTTGTGCAGTGGCTTCACACTTCACACTATACCTAAAACTGTTTTCCCAAGTTCTCTTTCATGAGGCTAGAAACACCGAAAAATGGGGGAGGGGATCATTTATATCATATGAAATTTGCTATATCTTCTGAAACCCTGCAAATACTGTGTTGTTTAAACCCATTTTCCTGTTATATACAGCCTTAAGTCCCTCTGTTGATATTATAATGCATTCAACTTTTTCTTTTCAGATTTTTATTTTTTATTATTTTTAATTTTTTTTTTTATTTTTAAACAATATTTGCTTCCCCCCAACCCCTCAGATTGAATCCCCATGGAATTTCCTATATCCTGATAGTAGTTTTTCTTAATGCAGTTAACTACCACACGGAATTTTTACTTGGCATAGACACACTCTTCCTTAAAGGTCAAAATAGAATCAGTTTGTTTTGCAAAAGAATTACCTGTAGAATTGCTTTCATCTGTTTACTCTGCCCAGTAACTTCTTCTTCCCCACCCCCACCCTGCCCCCCTTAAAAATACAAATCCAGTACACCCTCAACTCTTAAGCAGTGGTTATATCATGTAAAGCTGCATCTCTTACCAGGCCCCCACCCTCTTGATCCCTCTGTGTTATTGTCGTCTTTGCTTAGGTTGGGCTTTCTTCTGTGAATAAGAGAAAATAAGAAAATTGCCTGTTTTAGGCAATCCAGGTGTGTTTCAGAGATTTAGAGTTAAGAAGTCAAGTAAATATTTTGGCAGCCCAACAAAGGTAAGACAGGGAAAACGCACCTAATGGGCTTCTCGAATTACAGACCTGTCCAAACTCTGCCTTTCTCAAGAGACTTGGGTCAGGGCTGAAACCTGTCCTGCTGGGCGGTGAGAGTAAGGCCTGGCTGAGGAATGGGCTCACTTCTCTTGGGTCCTGGCCCCATTCCCAAGGGGACACTGTTGGACTGTGATTCAGTCTGACCTGAGAGAAAAGATGCTCATCAGTAAGTGGGAGTTCTTTCCTCCTTAATAGATTCTATTAACATTGCTGCTTCTGCTCTTATGAAAAAAATACCAGATAGCTTTGTTTCCCCTTCAAATTGGAACCCTAAAGAAGCAGGGTGCAGTATCTCTTAACTTTTTCAGCATAATTTCATTCATCTTGAAGGTTAGGAGGTGGACAGCACTGAAAGAGGACCCCAGAGCAACCTATCACAGGGTCGCCAGTCTTTTGGGCTCAGGTTCTGGACATTCAAGTGCACCAGTCTAGATGACTTCTCTGTTTTCTGATTTAAGAATAGAGATATCCCAGAAGGAAGGAGCACTGACCTGCTAGTGGCATGTGTGCATTCAGGCTGTGCTTTGTGTCTCTTCTAGCAGAAAGGCAGACATAAAAGCAGCCTCTCTTCCTTGCCTTCCCCCAGTGGCTTCCACTGGATCACCTTGGCAGGGCCTCTTCCAAGGAGAGCGAGCAGGCGGGTGGGGAGGAGGGAGGCGGGTAACTGCGGCTCCTTTGATCACCTCCCGCCCTGGTTCCAGGCCCCGCCGCCAGCAGGCCGGCCAAAGGCCCAGCTCAACTGATCTGATGAGGTGCTGAATAGGACCTGAGGGGCAATGACGGGAGTGAGAAGAAAGCCTGGGGAATGAAAAGGAAACCCCGTGAACCTGCTCGGCTTCATTGGCCGGATTTTCCTACCAGGGAGCCGCTCAGTTCCTGCCAGCCTGGGCTGCCTGCCCCTCACCCCGGCCCCTCCTGTCTCCGCTTTTCAGACTCTGTGTGTGTTTTGTGTTTGAATCACGGCCGGCAGCTCTCCCTGGTTCTCAGGCTGGGAACCCACTGCGCCTGTTTCCATGGTCACTGGGAAGCTCTTAGCGCCATGTGCTTCAAAGGGAACCTTTCCCCTCCCAGAGCTGGCCGCTGCCTGCCCCAGGCGGCCACACAATAAGCAGCTCCTCTCAGCCAGGCCTCTGACCCTCGCTTGCCAGGAGGAAAGCCTTGTCTTTGCGAGCAGGGCTGCAGCCTCCCAGAAATATACAGGAGCAGAGTGCGTGAATGTGGGCCCATTGTAGGCGTGAGTAGGCCCATTGTAGCCGCTCTGTAGCAACTATTTCAGGTGCTCTCATGTATATTTGCATGAGGGGTAGAAATTATAGGCTAGTGAGAGTGTTGGAGAGCCTTAGTAAACCTGAAGGAAAGAGCAAGGCTTAAGCCCCACATAAGAAAGAGGTGACCTTGTTTGGAGTCGGAAAGGAATAAGATTTGGATTGGGGCAGGTGTTGAGACTCAGAAGCCATGTGGGACTTTTTCAATTACACCTGAGTCTTTGGGACCAGCAGAGAATGGAACTGGGGCAGGGGGGACTGGCCTCCTGTCCCCAGAGCTGGGGTGGTGAGAGTGGTATCTGCTCACTCTTTCAGGCCCACAGATGCCAAAGCAATCACCGGCCAGGTTTAGAATTTGGTTTTCCTTGTTTGTTAAATAAAGCAGAATAATGAAGCCTCTCACATCAGTTTAACCATTTCAGAGGATTGCTACGTTTTAAAGCTGGAAGAACTTACAGTTTAGATGCCAAACCTGCCTTGCTTGCTCAGAACTCAAGGTGTTCTACCTTGGTCTTCCTGTACTCCAGAGAAAATGTATGGGAAATTGGGTGTTTCTCCAGTGTTAAGAGTCATTTGAAGTTTCTGTCGTTTAAATTAGGCTGTTTTGCCCTAATGTTCACTTTCCACATTATTTCTTATCAGTCTTTAGGCTGACTCTCCCATCCCTGCTTTTGGGGTGTTGGTGGCTCCCTGCAGAAGACACCCCCAAATAATTCTGAAATGTGACTTTCTGTGTTTGTAGTTATGGGACTTACGCATAATTTCAGACATGCACTTTATAATAGTGTTAGAGGAAAATACTCCCTTCTAGCGGTACCTACAATATTTGTAACTCATCCTTCTGGAAAAATATTTTCTAAAACATGCAGGCTCAAGGCTCTCTTGCACCAGTAGTATTTGTTTATCCATCTTCACTGGACACATGTAGTACTTTGGAGGTAGATTTAGGAAAAGTATGTTAGAATATGGAGACGGAGACAGAGACATAAAAAAGTACAGTTGGTACAGTTGGCTTGCCTATGAAAAGCAAAATGAAAGATACTTGCCTTCATCATAACAGGTATCATGATTACATTCTTACTGTCTGTCAGGTGTTTTCATACATTATCCAAAATCCTCAATATCCTAGGAGGTGAGTGGTAGTAGATTGTTATATTAATGTAGGAGTGAGGACACTGAGGGCCCTGAGTTATATGTGGTTGTACAACTGGTCTTGGCAGAGGTGGGAAGTAGCCCTGGGCTGCCCACTTCCTCCTCCTGTCCCCTGTCCCCTCCAGTGAGCCACAGTGAGATTAAGGGCACCAGGCACATGGGGATGCTGGCAGGTGTCAGATTACTTTGAACATTCTAGAGGGAAAAATTGGGGTAAATACAGTTAATCTCATTTCTTACCTTTTAGATAGCTGGGAACCTAATATGTGAATGATAAGCGCTACTGAAATTTGCTTGTTTAAAATCGTTTTCTTGCAGGTTTTTTTTTTTTTTTAGTAGATTAAGGAGATTTTTTTTTTAAGATTTTTTTATTTATTTATACAAGCACTGGGTATAATCAGAAGCGCAGGAGGGCGAGAGAATTCACCAGAGCCAGAGTGGGGAGCAGAGCAGGCAGAAGGACCAAAGTGCACTGCTGAGGGGAGCAGCAGGCGGCAGGAGAGGTCTGCGCGCCATGCGGGACCCTCCTCCAGTGGCCGGGGAGCAGCCGGGGATCGAACTGGCGTTGCATAGCCTGCGGGCAGCTTCGCAACCCAGCGCTTAACCGCTGCGCCACCGGGGAGGCCCTCTTGCAGCTTTTAATTAGCTGCCAGTCTTTGCCTTTTATAATATTTCTTATTTCCTCTTTTTCTCTTGCTCATTTGTCTCTTCTTTAGAAGCTGTTTTCCTTTTTTACCATAATCTGAGATAATCTCTCTCTCATTTACATGCTCAGATGAAGAGAAAGGACATATGAGGGTGGCACATTTTCTTTATATTCAAAATGTCATCATCATTACCATATCCCCTTGGGTGTGCAGAGTATGTGTTCCAAATTAAATTCCTCCTAGTGGGAATTGAAGACACTAACTATTCAGGGTCTAGCTAGGGAACCATGGCCACGTGTTTCAGAGCATGGCAACATGGCCTTAAAGTCCTCTGGGGGAGGGAGCTGTTTGCCCATTCCCCCACATGTGTTCTCCCTAGAGGTGATAGCTTCACTTATTCCATGTTCTGAGCCAACTCTTGAGATTCTAACTGGACTTGCAGAAATTCACTGGTGTCATGATTTACTCTGTGTGTGTGTGTGTGTGTGTGTGTGTGTGTGTGTGTGTGTGTAAGTATTAGACATGTTTCTTGAAGAGAGTAGGAAAGAGACTTGTGGTTCTGATTCATTTGAAACTTTCAGATTTCTCCCCAGTGCCAAGCTCATATAACAAGACTGAATGAGTGAGAGTGCTCTGTTTTTCTGTATGTTGGGACAGAACTAAAGGAGACGGGCATGGAATGGTCTGGGTCTTCTTCAGATCCATGCAGATGGAGAGTACATTGGTGATGGCATTATTGTCTTGGATTTAGTGGTTTGTCAGAAGAAATTTTGGTTGCATTAATGATTATCCTTGTTGTCAGCTTTAATAGAAGAACTGGGAAAATTGGATGTCTCTCAACACTCAATTGTTTCTTCAGTTGAGTCCTTTTGTTTGTCCAGGTTCTGTGACTGTGGTAATCTCGGTTGCCAAGTAATATTTTTTAACCAAGAAGGTTTATTCAATTACTGGGTTAGGGTTTGTAATTTGAAGTATGGATGTCACAGCTGTGGGATGCCACATTTATCTGATGTCTCAGAACTATAGTTATCCAAACATTCCTTTGTCCTGGTCCCTTGAAGTTCAGCAGGTAGCTTTGGAGTATCCACAAATTCTCTACCCACCCTTCTAGGTCCTACGGGACCATCATGAGGAAGGAATCATAATGAACTCCTTCAGGTCTTTGCTTAGACTGTACTTCCTCTTTAAAGTCTTTCTAAGCCAGTAGTGTGTTAGCAGGAAAGGCTTCAACAGAAGAAATGAAACTCAACTTTCAAGAATGGGTGGGTTTGGAGTAGAAAATGAGAGAGGAGTACATTTCGGGGGGGTGCTGCCAGGAACAGTTATAATGCATGATGTGCCCCAGGTGCTCAAAAAGAGTACCTTGTTGTGAGTTTAGTGGCCAAGAAGATCCTCTCAATAGGTAAGTTATTTCCAGGGCATGCATGAAGTGGCAGGCCAAAGGAGAAACAGGCTTCCAGCAGAGGGAACTGTATGTGTTTATTTCCTCTTTTTCTCTTGACCTAAGAGTAGATCATCAGTTTGGACATTTCTATGATACTGTTATATATTGCGGTTCTATGGCAGTTAAAGTAAAAGAGAGGACTAAAACTTAATGTATTAGAGACCTTAAATTTAAAATCCCAGAAAATTTTTATGTGGATGAATTAAAATGGTACTTGGTAGAACTTGCCCAATTGGCATAAAATAAACACAAGGTTATAATTCTCTTTGTTGTGCTAATTCTTTTTACATATAACAAATTATCATTTTAAGCATTTGGAGTGTACAGTTCTGTGGCATTAAGTATATTCACATTATTATACAACTATCACCATCATCCATCTCTAGAAATTTTCATCTTATCCAACTGAAATTCCATACCCATTACACACTCTTTCCATATCTCCTTCTTCCCAGATGCTGGCAACTACCGTTCTGCTTTCTATCCCTATGAGTGCCACTACTCTAGGTCCCTTATAGAAGTTGTCATGTAATATTTTTCCTTTGTATGTTTTTCATTTATAATGTCTTCAGGGCTCATCCATGTTGTAACATGTATCAGAATTTCCTTTTTTTAAATGTTTGATTAATATCCCATTGTAAATACACCACATTTTTTAATGCCTTCATCCATCGATGGACCCTTGAGTTGTTTCCATCTTTGGGCTATTGTGAATAATATTACTATGAACACATGTGTGCAGGTGGCACTTCAAGACCCTGCTTTCAGTTCTTTTGGGCATATACCCAGGAATGGAATTGCTGGACCATATGATAATCTCATACTTCTAATTTTTTGAGAAATCACCATACCGATTTCCACAAGCTTTACCATTTTACATTCCCGCCAGCAAAGTACAGGGGTTTCAGTTTCTGTACATCCTACCAGTACTTCTTTTCTGTTTATTTTTTTTAAAAGATTTATTTATTTATGCATATAAGAACTGGGGTGTAGGCCAGAGATTCGGGGTGGGGAGATGAGAGGATTCACGAGAGACAGAGTGGGGAACAGAACAGGTAGATCTACTAAAATACACTGCTGAGGGGAGCAGCAGGCGAGACAGGAGAGGCCTGCCATCACCATGTAGGTTAGCTCC